AGATCCAATGATGATCTTACCTACACAGCGAACTTGATCTTAGTATACAATGCGCCGACTACATAAGCAATACCTATCGACGCTATTCACAGGAGTGTACGGCCAACTGAAAAAACACAGCACGAGAAATTTGTAGCTGTAAAACTTTTAAAAACTCTATTTGCCAAGTTCTAGCTTTACCTCCTTTATACGAATTATTGCATTGTTTCCGATTACCTCACACTGGCTTAACAATCACACGCACATCCTAAGGTAAGTCGCACACCTATCGATTCTCCAGATTGCTCGCAGTGGCACGATTACACTATGCATCACGTGTGGCCAGATAGGCTAGCGACAAAGGTAGTTAACTTGCATTCAACCGGTAAGCCTACAAAGGTTCCCTTCCAACAGGGTTGCAGCCAATCCGCTTCCTATCACTACTCAATTAGTTGTAATCACGCTAGCGTAAGCCTTCAAAGCCCCTCTTACAACAGGCTGCAAACGTTACAACCTCAAACAGCCACCAATCCGCTTCTTATTACCACTCACAGATCTCCTCTCGCCCACCTGCTAGTGATAGCTCCTTACGCCAGATTGGCAGCATGACCAATCACGTACTACGTCTCCCACTGACTGATCATCCTCGACAGGACGACGAAGTCGCTGGTTAACCAGTACTATCGATCACTTGCTTTAATGTTACCTGTTCTTTGGCCTAGTATACTCCTCGTGTGATCTGGACCACATTGGTTTGCTGCGTATCAGGCGATACACTTTGGGGTCGAGTCTGTGGCCACACCAAAGGGAAGACTAACAAGTGTGACACTGTGCGCGCGTGCAGTCGTTGGACGCTTTCAATCATGTCGATTGGACGGTCTGAATCCAGAGAGGACGCCTCGGCTTTCCTTCAGGCGCGCATTGGTGCGGCACAGAATGTGATGGCACTTTTAAACAAGAGCATATTTCGGAACGATTGTTTTGTTTAAAACTACCTACAGGCTGGTAGTGGGCTTGCAACTTCGCTGTACCATTCACTCCGTTTGTCGGTCGCCTGTCTGTTGATCGCAATCGGTGTATCAGCACATTTCAATGGTGTCGAGGATGATCAGCCAATGGGAGACATAGTACGTGATTGGTCATGCTGCCAATCTGGCGTAAGGAGCTATCACTAGCACGTGGGCGAGAGGAAATCTGTGAGTGGTAATAAGAAGCGGATTGGTGGCTGTTTGAGTTTGTAACGTTTGCAGCCTGTTGTAAGAGGGGCTTTGAAGGCTTACGCTAGCGTGATTACAACTAATTGAGTAGTGATAGGAAGCGGATTGGCTGCAACCCTGTTGGAAGGGAACCTTTGTAGACTTACCGGTTAAATGCAAGTTACCTACCTTTGTCGCTAGCCTATCTGGCCACACGTGATGCATAGTGTAATCGTGCCACTGCGAGCAATCTGGAGAATCGATAGGTGTGCGACTTACCTTAGGATGTGCGTGTGATTGTTAAGCCAGTGTGAGGTAATCGGAAACAATGCAATAATTCGTATAAAGGAGGTAAAGCTAGAACTTGGCAAATAGAGTTTTTAAAAGTTTTACAGCTACAAATTTCTCGTGCTGTGTTTTTTCAGTTGGCCGTACACTCCTGTGAATAGCCTCGATAGGTATTGCTTATGTGCGGAATACCAGTGAGATTATTCTGTCTTCGTCACCATGGGCGACCATATGGATGTGAAACCTAATTATCCTACGAATTCATAGGTTCCTAACACCTTTACATAACGCCATACATAGAGACACTAAAGCGACAACTGATTGACATTTCGCCCATGGGTATGGAGACAAACGAACACTCACTGACGTCGTGTCAACGTCACAATTGCAATCCTATCATCTTTTGTTGAGTCATCAACTGTGATTGAATTAAGCAACCTTAGAATTGTCGTTGTTCAGCTTCAGGTTGGTCTACTAACTTCTGTGGAAACTATGTCCCCCAGGATCTTTGCAATGACATTCGCACACAATTGTCTAACCGCCTAGCAGCCAATGCTGCATTGTGGAATACCAGTTAGATGGTTGCCTATCTACGCCACCATGGTTAGTCCGCTGAATAAGCCACCATTAGGTAGCCGCCAGTGATCGCCATAGACCGCTTCATGTGCTGGTTAGTATGTCTGTCCACACTGGTTAAGTCTTAAGGTTTGGATAATGTGGTAGCTAGCATCTCCTCCTTTGACACGCATCACAATTTGCCTATTGGTCGGTTTCAGGTTGGAGACCAATCATCGAGGTTTACTCGAGGGGCATCTAGGTTTACTCCAGAGGGGCATCAAGGCAGAACAGAAGGTGGTGCTCGACCACTTTCATTGGACTGTCTGTCTCTTATGCTGGCAGCTTCTAACCGGTGTCCCATTGGTTTACGTCCCATAACCAATGAGAGTGTCAAGGACGCTAAATCAGAGTTCTCCGCATCGCTCACTTGAGAGCACCGCACGAAATGTCGGAAGGGAATTGCAGTAAAAGCTTGGTACAATACGGTGATATGCGTGTAAAAATGTATATTCTTTCATGTCACACGGAAATATACTGTGTCTGTTTCTCACTGCAACTTACGTCCGCACAAACTGCAGCCCTGATTCGATGAAAGTTGGTTTCTATCACCATTTTGACGATTTTCTTAATTACCGAAGAAGCACAGGTACTGTAGTGGTTGCAGTTTACCTAACCGCCCAATTCGTAATTTGTCCTCTTAGGATCTTCATCTGGGCGGTCAATTTGTTGTAGGCTCCCGTAATGATGACGGTGAGCGCGACCATACAGGACGAAACTGGCCAACCGATCCACAGTCTGTCAAAACGCATGGTCCGATGGGATAATCACTTTTCGAAACAGTTTAACCAATCTGTGATCCATTCCTTTTTCTGGCATTGAATACCGTTATCCATGGTCTTCCTCCTA